GAGGCTCCCTGATCAGGGCGACGTCTCAGGCATGTTGCCCTCACCAGAGCATCTTTTTGTACAAATACCCCGGCCGACACAAAAGTCGCCTTTAGGAATCACAGTGCGCGCCCGCACGACCTGCCGCCCGCCGCCGCCACCGCCGCAAGAGGTGGGTGCCCGCCCCGTCACCTGCTCCGCGGTTGTTAGGTTATAGCGATGCGCGGCACCGCGTCGTGCTGGAGAGGACGCGGACCTCTCGAGGTGGGTCACCACCTCCTCTCTCAGCCGGCTGCCAATGCCCTGCTTTACCTCTATTGGGGCATGAGATTTGGGGGGCCGTTCCACACCAAACAACCTCATGACGTGCTGACGTGCGCGTCACAGACGGCCGCGCAGGACGGCCGGCAGGGGCACGTCATCGGCGCGCACATCAGAAGCACGTCCCGTTCGGGGCCCGCGTGTGTCAGTCGGGCCTGGACCGTCGGACCTCTCCCTCTCCGCCTCCTGCTTCGCTTTTGGTCTCTTCTCATACTCGTCTCGATGGCCGGCCTGATTCTTGGGACTGATGGCCGTGAGAAACAAGCGCGACAGGCTGGGCGCCGCGCCCCGCCCCACCACCACGCCCCACCGCGCCCTACAGCAGCACGCCACGATCCGCCCCGCCCCACCACGCAAACCAAATTTACTTCAAAGAACATAGGCAGCAACCCAAGCGAACGCCGTCTTTCGTGGTGTCTAAGCGGGCTGAAGGCGTCCGTTTTGCTCCAACACTGGCGCCACCCCCACCAGCCGCGCTCAGGTCCGATGGATCCGACGGGCAGGCTGGCCGCTGGCCACTGGTTTGCCAATGCGCCCCATTTGACGCGTGGAATGTGGACGCCCGCCGCCGCCCCCGTCCAATCCTCTCTCGCGCCATCTCTCTTTCTCAGTTTCTCTTTCTCCCTCAACCCACCGAATGCCACTACCTCGTCGTCTCAAAAACGCGCGTTTGGTTACCATACAATCGATCGTTCGTTTGTAGCTGAAATTATTCGCCGCCGTTTCTTTTCACCTGTGCGGAGCAGCGGAGCGTGGCGTGGCGGGGCGGGG